TATTAGACATTGCCAATCTACATTTTATGCCAGTAGTTGGCTTAACCTGATATTTTCCCACATTACTCCATATTTTATGTGTCATAGCACAGTCCATGGACCAGAGACATTTCCACAGCAGCATCCTCAGAGTTAGGAGGACTTATGCACTGCCAGCTGATGACGATTGAAGCCATCATGCTTAGTTTTAAAACCCACATTTCAAGGATCCTCTTTGTGACGCCACTGAGTGTTTGTCCATCATAAATGTACAGACTATGTTTAAACCCCCTGAGATGTCTGTGAAGAGACCTAAAGAGATTCAGTTGTCGGATGATTCACATCCAGTCTGATAGAACTTGAGAGGTCCCTCGAGGAAGAACAGGACAATCTGCTCAAGTCCAGGTGCACAAAGCTTACGTAGAATACTCAAAGTTGTCCTTACTCCCGAAAAGCCTTCTACAAAGACTCTGAATTCTTAGAATTCCCAAAAACATGTTATTACTATAGACTGTGTGTGTAGATGGATCACACCTCAGTGACATCGTCAGTCGATTTCCTGAAAAGCAGTGTTGAAGCTCAGTGTGGTGGTTCCAAGTGTCACCATCTTGGCACTACCTGACTCCTTCTAATCGCTGTCTTATCCAAAAATGAGCAAAGAGGTGGAGCTGCGGTGGGCCATGCAAACATCTCAGGTCCATGGACTGTTCTATAACAGCAACCACCTGTATCGCAAAGTGGTCACACCTTAATTATACATAGCTTTAAGCCTTAATACAAGCTAAATTGGAGCGTTATAGCAAAATTCACACCCAGCAGAGCTGTCATGGAGGAGAACATTAGCGATAAAAACCAAAGCAGTTCTTTGTACCCGCCAGTAGACATGTTTATTTCTGTTGTAAAGTTTTAACATTTTAACATGGGGTTCTATGCACATTGACTCACTTTTGGAGACAGCCTCAAGTGGCCATTTGAAGAACTGCAGTGTTTGGTACTTCTGCATTGGCTTGGAAAAGTGAAGTGAATACTTTCTGAATCTAATGTATAACAAACAGTAGCTCATACAAATTGTCCACCAGAGAGCTCTGATATGTTTACCTGTCAACTGTAATCTCTAAGTTACAACCTGTTATGTCAGAGTTCTCGATACTGGTCATGACCTCAAAGTGTTCGTACTTGTTAGATTCTACCGTGATGTCAACTAAATGTGACACCAGTATAAACAGTATGTCAAACATACATGTTGTCTGAACTGGGTCTTCATGCTACAGTGCTGAGCGCAGACGTCGAGCATGTACATTAACATGACAAGACATTGCCACTTTACATGCTCCTCCAGTCCAGCTCGGTCACCCTGCGGTTGTTGATGGCTTTGGTCCACAGACAAGCAATGAAACCGCCATGATAATAATGTTTGAGCTCACCTCCAGCAGGCTCCCAGGATGAATGTTTGCTGTGGATATTAGTGTGAAGGCAGGACAGCATAAGATGGCTTCTTTGAATATGAGAGCACAGAAAGAAAGTAATGATGGTGCAATAGCTGTGAAAGCAATGAAAGAGAGTAGAACACACAAAGATGACAATATCTGGCAAATTTTGCTCCTCAGGATTAGGATAATCATGGCAAATTATTTTCCGCTTCAACAATGCGGTGTTTACTCAAAGCAATTTAATGAAATAGTTTTATGTATCACATCTTTTACATCTTCTTTATTCCTTTGTACTGCTTTTTAATGTAATAATGTTTGAATTTTCCTTATAATGTGATGCAGCTTTTTATTCTTCACGTCACTATTAATGTGCACAAACAAAATTTACTGAGATACACTGTTTTGGTTAATATCTGGAGATTCTCTGCCTGAGGTTTGAATCGTGTTTTCTGGCATTCTTCAGTAACATTTAGCTGCAGCACCCTCAGTTACCATCGCTCAGGGTAAAAGGTCTATTCTTGACCCCTTCAAAGTAAAAATAGACATGTCCTTAGGCCCTCTTCACCTAGCTTATTGGGTGTCAATGACTGCCAGTGAGCCCGACAGGTTTCCCCTGGCATTTGAAGTCTATTTTAGGACCATACATCCCAGTGGGCAGACGGAGAGGTGTTTGTTTTTCAAGCCCACATGACTGTTACACATTCATGAAACACCTTTTCAGTAAAAACACGGAGTTGGATTTCAAAGCCCCCCTGCTGTCTACTGGTAGATATCAGCCACTAATTAGCGGCTGTTTATATCTTTCACGGCATCATCTTTTGGAAGATAGCCTGCCAGTTCTGGTACCGATTTTCTGCCTTTACCGATCAATGGACATATCTTCCGCTGCCCGCTCTCCCTGTCTCTTTCCATCTGTATGTTTCTATCTAGAGAAGAAGTGATAAGCTGGAAATTATTGGAAAATGTTGCTTTCATCAAGGTTTTGGCAGGAAAGTTGTGTTTTGTTTTGGAAAATAGACATTTTCTGAAAAGGAACTTGAAGGGTTTCTTACTTAAACCTAAAGTTTGCTTCATTATGTTCTAGTTCACTGCCAAACTAATACGATGCAGATTTTACACCTTTGAAATGGTGTAATATTGGTCACCCCACTTCCACTAAAAGAATTCATTGTTTCTTGGGAGGGCCACTCTACACCTTTCTGAAGGACTGCTTCTCCCTTATTCCTAATAATATCTCCAGATTTCTCTTTAACAGCAGTAGCCCTGCAAGGGCCAATTAAGAAGCACTATAAAGCCAATATATAGTGCAGTTCTGGTCATGTCTGTGCTGGGCTTGTTAAGATCCTCAAAGATTCTCAAAGATTAAATTGAAAGGACTGAAATGTGACAACCTACCTCATTGAGAATATAATAGAAAAAATCCAAGTGCTTCCCACAATCTGAAGTTCCCATCAGTGTTGGTTTTGCATGGACATGTTTAGCTGGGTTAAATGCAGGTACCTTTTATATGAACATGTTTCTACCATCTCTTCTTGTCACATTACGTTTCCCTGAGGAGTAGCCAATGTAGTTAGACTCTCGTTTGTGATAACTGTAGGGAGAGGAGTAAAGAGTTCTTTCTTCTGATTCATATTGCTTGTTTGTCCTTTGAACCTATAAAGGGGTCCCAACACATGTTGTTTATGTATTAGTGCTTGATCCATCTGGTTCCTGTAAATGAGACCACCAATATCTGCCACCAGTTATTGTCAGACATCATAACTTTTTAAACAAGAGGTTTCAGGTTAGAATGTAAAACATTTTTTACTAGTAAAAACCCAACTGGCTAAAACTCAAACTCAGGGAAGGCCTAATTATTTCCTGATGCACAGAAAGTCAAAATGAGAATTGGGATTGTGGTAGAAGGTATTTAACAGTACAAACTACTGCACGAGGTAAGAAGAAACAAGTTCATTCAAAAACTTTATATTGTGAATGAGATCTGACCTTATCTGCTGAAAATACAAGCTTTATATGCTACATTCACTGTATTGAGTCATAGTCACCTGTAATAATGTCAGTCAGTCATTTAAATGCAGGAAAAATAGGTGGATACCAGATTAGTACATGTGAATTGCATGATGTAAAGTAAAGTTCTTTGCTATATTATTCTGTATCAAGGTAAAAGAAGGGTCTTCTCAGTCCTATAATAGAATCAACAGGAAACCGTACAGTTTGATTACAATGAACTGTCTACTGTTTGCTCTGGCACCACCTCTCAGGCTACTTCTTTTCACTTAATAGTGGACTTTGTGTAATTTCATTAGTTGTAATTGTATTAATTAGTGGCTACTAGTGGATAACTACCATAAAACCCCTGCCTTCAGGCATAAGCAGCTTTTATTTAAAGCTATGGCTAATAATCTGTGGCTAATGCTGGACATCTTAGTTAAAAAAAAAAAACTTCCAGTGACCCACTAATTTCTTTTTCAGGAAAGCCTCATTCATGTGTCTTCATGGACTTATTTGACACATTTCATTATGTCGTACTAAGCACTGTGGAAGGAGCATTCTTTGCATTTCTCAGTGCAGCTTGTACGTCATCATGTCACTGCAGATGTGTTTATGTTTACAGTCTGGATGATGACGCTGTGATTTTATTTTTTTCCCCCAGTGAACTGCCATTTGGAAAAGGAGGACTGGAAGAAACCTCCCTGACTGAAGATACTGTGAGTGTCAAATCTACCCTTGGGCCCATGTTTGTCATAGACAGTTTATTGAAGGCCATTTACCACATGCTATAAAATACCATATTCAAATTTTACGCCAATTGTGTATTTTGTACAAATGGCCTCACAGTCTTTACTGAAAATGACATCGTAGCCCCGTTAGCCTCTGATGCATGCACACAGTATCAATCAAATCAGTAAATTCAACAGGGAGTCAGGATGCTTGATGGCCTCTGGTCTCATTTGAGATGCAGACATTGTCCTGTTGCTTCCTTTAATGAGATCTGGAGGCGTGCAATCTAATATTCACCACTGAGGCTTCGACATGGCCCCTGAGCCTGTAGCTCAGAAAGCTGTGTGTTAATTCAATGGAGTGAAGTCAGCTGTGATCAGAGGGACTGAAGTGGCCATTCAGTCATGGGGTTGAGAGGTACTGGCCGTTTTATACACCGTGTACTGACAGTCCTCATTTGGAGTTTTCTTTTTTTTTAGAAGGCTGGACTTTTACTTAAACTTTTAAGTAAATATTTGTCACGTAGATCTGCTTCGGGGTGAATCTTGAGGCCAAATCTTACTTAATCTCTGTGAGAAGCAACATCTTGAAGCAGAGTCCCAGATGAAGGTAGGAGACGAGGGTAAGACCCCCACCTGGAGTCTAGACACTGGTGGTGAGGAGTGAAGTTAGCAGATGGCTGAAGGAGACGGGTTGAGATGCCCTGGACAACCCGGATGAGGTGGAGACGGGGAGGAGAAGAGTTGCTCAATCTCAAAGGGAAATGAGAAATGCAAATGTGGAAAAATAGACCATTGGACAAAAGTAGGAACGTTAAAATTGTGATTTAAAAGAAGTGATTTTGTGTGATAGTGAAACAAAACTGAGGAAGAGAGTAGTAGAAGAGAGTATATTAGAAAACTGAAAATAAAATATACACATACCCCCAGAAAAGAGCCAGAACAAACACTGGAAAAACAGCCTTGTTTAGAATTAAGATTTCTTTTCAGTGTGATGAAACATGACTATTGCTTCAGGGCTTGTTTTCTGACACAACATAGGATAAAGTGGATAAAATTATGCTGCTGTAAGTTTGTACTCTAAACACAACAAAAGTGTAGTTGTGTGGCAGTCTAATTTGCAAAATGAAATTGGTTATATGACTGATGCTTTGTCTAGTTTTCTATCACCCAACAGTGCTGTGATATCAGGGGCAGCAGGTCCAGCAGGATCTCCCAGGGTAAAGTGATCCTTGGTAGGGGCTCAGACTAAGAGCTACAGTTAAGGCTGTTATCGACTGACATCTTGGGGACGAGAACAAACTGACCTGGGTTGTCATGTCAGGGAGATGACCTGATAGGCCAACACCTGGCTGCTTCTATACTCATGGCGCCCAGCTAAACTCAAAAGCATTAACCTCAGTGTTTACACTGCAGAATGAGAGACTGGTCTCTGTGGCATGTGACGTGGGAACGAAGGCTGTTGTCTGTACTTGAGCTCATCTGGTTTTCTTTGAGTGCTGGGTCGGTTCATGCAGAGACTGCTGATGGTGACTTAATAGC